TAATAATATACAAAATGTCTCCCTTTCTAAAAACTTAATTTATCTTTAGGGCTAATCACTTTTTATGAACCGATTTCGGTGATTCTCTTTTTATTTGAAAGCTGGTGCTTCACGTGTTGTCTCATATAAATTTGAACAAGGTTTGACCAATAGTTTTTGAGTTACTTACTTACTTACTTATCTTCACGTACAATCCCTGACGGGGTAGCCAGAGAGAACAGATCGCCAAGTGTCACGATCCTTACATACCTCTTTCGCTTCTTTCAGATTCATTATCTTCTTCATACATGCACGTCTAGGTATCCGAGTACTCTTGACCCTCCCCTCTTCAAGCAATTTGCTCACATGGTCTTCGAAAGTTAGTCTCGGTCTACCTCGACACCTTTTAATATTAACTTTCGCGCTATATATTTTCTTCACCATTCGGTCTTCACCCATTGGCTCAACGTGCCCAAAACATCGAAGCACGCCCTTATCAATTTTTGTGATAAGGTCATCTTTCAAACTAGACATATTGCGAATCTCTTCGTTTCGCTTTCGGTCGGCCATGGTAACGCCACACATTTTACGAAGCAATCGCATCTCCACTGCATTCAACTTACTTTTATGCTTCTTCTGGCATACCCAGGTTTCGCTGCCATATAACAAAGTCAGTACCAACACTGCGTTATGTATTGCAAGGCGTGCACTCTTCATTACGCCTTGCCTTTTGACTAAAGCAGTCAGGGCACCATTGACTTTGTTCCCGGCAGCGACACGCCTGTCCACATCTAAATCATATCTTCCATGAAAGCCGGCTGAAAGCACTCCCCAAGTATACAATTTCATTTACCTGTTCTAGACATTCCTGATTTACCCGTATTTCACACTTCGTTCTCCCTTCGTCCCTTTCAAATACCAGAACCTTAGTTTTATTAGCATTCTAACGGAGACCTTTAATTTCACATTCCTCTTTCATACACTTGACTAATGCCTGCAGTTCTGCCTCTGATGGTGCAATAAGCACTGCATTATCAGCATACAGCAGACAATTTACTTTAATGTCACCCAATTTCACACCCAAACAACTATCTTTCAGCTTCTGTAAACAGCTGTCGAGATACAGTATGAACAGCCAGGAAGACATGACACAACCCTGCTTTACGCCCGTTTGGACGTTAAACACGGATGACAGGTCATGCCCTACTCGCACACAGGCTTTACAGTCACAGTAAAGAGACTGCACAGCCCTTAGCAATCGACCATCCACACCATACCCCGGCAACAGTTCCCACATTTTCTTCCTTACAACCTTATCAAATGCTTTCTCAAGATCCACAAAAGCACAGAAAATCTTCTGGTTAGCAGCCAGAAGCTTCTCCGCGATCATGCGGAGAGAAAACATTTGATCCGTGCATCCTCTTCCAGGTCTAAATCCGCATTGTGGCTCCCATAGAAATCTTTCCGATTTCTCTTGCGTCCTACGTGTCAAAACCTTCGAGTAAACTTTACTTGCTAAACTGGTCAAGCTGATCGCCCGATAGCACCCGCAGTCAAAATGTGAACCTTTACCTTTATATAAAGGCACAATGACTGCGGATCGCCAATCATCCAGGACATCCCCCGTCCGCCAGCACAAATTGCACAGCAGATGAAAGCTGTCCCAGACGCGAGGCCCACCATATTTGACCATTTCAGCAGTAACTCTGTCTAGTCCCGCAGCCTTACCACATTTCAAACTTCGAATCGCACGTTCAATCTCTTTCATACTGATGACCTCAGTGTCATCGAGGTCCGGGTCTGGCGTACCAGTCACGGCGTCATCCCCGGATCCCTCACTAAGATCATCACACGCATACATTTCTCTATAAAATTCGCTCCATCGCTGCATGACGTCCGATTTTTCTGAGAGGACGTCATTAGTTCTCGAAAGCACTTTGTTCATTCTTAAGGCCGTCGCACCACTTCGGGTCCTTTCAACCTCTTTTCAGAAGAGTTTGGAGTTCTCCTTAAAGTTGTGCGACAACCTTTCGTCCGCTTCCATTCTACACCTTTCACGCACTTCCTCAATCAGTGCTTTTGAGTTATTCTTAATAATTTATATTGAAGTCGGATGTACAAAATTTTTTATTTTAAATTGTTATCTCGAAGATTGACGAATGGTCTAGAGGTCGTAAACAATACTGCTGATTGAATTCTGCGTCAGGTTAAAACAGTTACTGGATAGTTCTGACTTGAAATTCTCGTTGGCAGCCCGGAGTTAGGGAGTTGGCAGTGTTTCATCTCCGTGGCTCGGAAAGGTCCGTCTGTGTCGGATTGCTCTCCCATCGAATTAAAGTGTGAGGGAATAGAGAGTTCACCTGTGCTTGCGCATACACACGGACCAATCTTGTCCCGCGCAAATAGCTAGTCTCCGCTAAGACTGGCCGCCGTGATGGAAATTTGTTCTGTAGGATATTATTATTATTATCTCGACTATCGAGATCTACATCGAAACTGGTAATAAACAATCTATTAAAATATCGCTAATATAAAATCTAAGCTAATTTCCTCTGAAGGATCTAAAAATGTATATCAATCCTTCGTCTTTTTAATCACTAGGAAGAAATGTAAATCTTTAAAACGCTTGCACGCATTATCTATCTACAGTCGCTACCTGTTTAAAAAAACATTTTATGTCACAGCTATTTTTTACTACATTCAAAACTAATTTTTAAGAGTTTTGAAAGTACGACTGATTATTTTGCTTAGAAAATGCAGCTAAAGCTCCTAAGTCATTATCCATAGTCAATTACGATTCTTGAACGCTACCTTAATATGAATATTCATGGAACCGTAGGCTATTGTAAGTCAGCCTGTCCAATTCCCGCCGTGTAAGCGTGCATGGACGATTAATTAATTGGCAGCCAGCGTTAGACCGCAGCTGCGGCAAACACGCCCGGTCGTTACGTTTTATGGTTGCGGCAGATGTACGCGTTGTTAATGGCCGGTGGCAATCGGCCATTTATTGTGGAATTTGAATACCTTATTAGAAAATTTAAATCAAATAAAATCATTTTGATAAATTTATTTGCAACTTATTATCTTATATGCTAATCAAATTGACTCCTACTATAAATGTATTCCAAATAATATTAATAGAAGGACGCTATTTAAAAGGAAATGATATAGAAAAGGGCTTTATTTGCTTTTTATAAAACCCCTATATGTATATTAACTTATTTTATATTCCCAACGTTTCGAGCACTTGCTAGAACTTAGATAAAAATATTGATAATCATAATACATACTGACTGTATAAATAAATATACACATATATATATATATATATATATATATATATATATATATATATATATATATACAATCATGACATGATTATAAAGATAAGTCTGAAGAAACAAGGCAAAGAATGGTTCAAAAATGCATTAAATGTTCTGTAACGGGACTGCATGTTACGTAAGTTATTGTACGTAGTAGAGCTGCAGTTATATTATAGTTGTAACACGAATGGGTAGGCTCGACTGGGGAGAGACCACGCTCTCACAGAATACCAGCGTAAAATAGTAGCTTGATGCTGCTGTGTTTCGTAAAGTGAGCGTAAAGAACCGGAGACCCTTTTTACTGGATACGGGGCATTCCATCTTAGTTCTGAGGGGTGACAACGCATCTGCATTTTGACTCTTAATCGAGGATACATTTAGATGTCTATGGGTCACAGAATCCACTAACCAACATGTGGGCTGTGTGCTCGCTTTTCACACTTATTCCATAAAAAAGAGCATTAAGTACAAGCATCGACATGACTTATGTTTTTCCTACGTGTCATCATCATCAACACATAAAAATTTCAATGCTGAACTTGAGTCTCTTGAATTGGTATAAAATTTATAAGTTACATTAGTGATTTCACTACGAATTTTATGAAGATAACAAAGGATGCCCAATCCACTGCTAATGGACCCACTTAATAGTTGGCTCGTTCAATATATAATATATCATATTACTGTCTCCATATATTTATTATAATTTTCCTGGCCTAAATAATTTATTTTTAAACGACTTCAAAAAGGAGGAGGTTCTCGATTCGAGTGTATTTTTCTGTTGACTTCCAAAAAGGAGACGGTATTCAATTCGACTGTATGTTTTTTTATGTGTGTTACCTCATAACTTTTTACTGGGTGAACCGATTTCGATGATTCTTTTTTTATTTGAAAGCTGGTACTTTTCGTGTGGTCCCATATGAATTTGATCAAGGTCAGGCCAATAGTTTTTGAATTATTCTTAATAATTTATATTGAAGTCGGCTGTACAAAAAAACTTTAATTTTAAATTATTTGTATGTATGTTCTTTGCAGATTGTGAACCAATTTTGATGATTTTTTTATTAAATAGGTTATGCTTAAAGGCGGTCCCATAAAAATTTCACCCCTAAGAGTTACAAATAAATAACTTATTTTTTAACAATTTCAAATCGGTTTTTATTTTTTAAAGTTATAATTATTTGTTGATACAAATTTCCTACTTTCGATAGATATTCGAAAGTTTTGTTAATTTTACCATATTTTTTGTTAAATGTAACCAAAAAAGTTATTTTTACCTTTTGAAATTGACTATTGGTTTATCCTGCACTAACAAAAACTGATTTAAAAATTAAATATCTTAGTGTTTGAAAAAAAATATTGTATTGAAAAACTGTATTTTAAATGAATTATATTTATAATTTCTCTTTTTGCTATGGTAACAAACATAAAGATCACCTAATTTTAAATAGTAACTAACAATAAATAATAGATAACAGCAATAAAGTTTAAATCTTCTCCAATAATTGTGTCTAAGATTCCCGTAAAAAATAAATGGAATGTCTCAATTAAGATAATTTCTAAGAAAATGTCTCTCAAGGAATAAAATATAACATACTTGGCAGCTTCAAGTATCATTTGAATTTTCATCAATATATGACGCAATAAACAAGTGAAGAATAGCTTAACGTTTAATTCAAATTGTATATATTGTTGCAGGTAACTTCCAAGGTGATATAGCAATATCTGATGACTTCTTCAAACCAGCGAATACCGCCCCTTCCACATCAAAAATAAATAAATCTCTACAAGAGGAGGTGGAGCGACTAAAAAAAGAAGTTCTTCTTGAGGGATTACAAGTCGAAGAAGAAGGTCTTCCAGACATATTAAGAAAAAGAACCAAGCAACCCGCCTCTTTAGTTCAGGAGAAACCGAAAAAGTATAATGATGCATCTTTACACACAAAAGTAAGCACTCACATTTGTTACAATTAGTTTTAGCAAAGTATATATTAAACTACCCACATAAATTTAATTGTATAGTTAAATATTCATTGTTCTTCATCCAGGTGCTACCAGCTGGCTTAGACAAAGCACTATTAATAAAGAACGGTAAATTACTTCCAGAGGAAATCTTAGATAATTATACTAGCGTGGCCTATCAAAATAAATCATGTCCAACAAACCAAAGTGCCATTGTAGATAATCTAACAGAATACGAAAGCTTGGAACAAGATGGTGTTTTAGTGGTGAATGTATCAACAGATAATATTCTTAACCTAGAAGACTTCTACCCAAGTCTTCAGTTATCAAATTTATCTAACAAAATGGATGAAGTTACGAATAAAATACAAAGCAACAGTCGGGAAATTACCGGTGATTCTAACAATAACATAAAGATTAAGGATCTACCAGAAAATGTGACCATAGCTCCTGCACCTACAAACGGTGTTATACCAACAAATGAACAAGATGAAGAAATTGTTAACAAAGATAAGTCAACAATAAATAGAACAAATAAAGAAATAGATGATAAAGTTTATGAAGCAAATGACTTGCTTAAACCAACAGAAAGTCTTCAGAGCCTTTTGGATGAAACAGAAGTGCGAAGACGTCGCAGAAGGCGTAGACATGGTAATGGGAGACGGTAAGACTAGACTCTATAAATATAATTTTTAAATATATAATTTTATTATAATAGTAACTAGGCTAGGTAGCATATTTTTAATAGTTAAAAGATTCTGTATCAAGCTGAATTGGTTCTACGGGTTTGTTCTGGTTTGAAGGTTGTCCAATTGTACAAAAAAAAAGTTAGAGAGAAATTAAAAAGGCCGCCTTCGGAAAAAAGTGGATAAAGCTTCAAAGATATGTGTGTGGCATACAGTTGTCCCCAATGATCAATTTCAGAGAAACCTATACCAGATAATTCTTTGTTTGAAAGATCCTATAAATTTCAGATACTTCTTAACAACGAAGTTATTAAAAAAATTAATATCAATCTGAAAAATTACTGCAATAATAATTTACTTATGATTCTAAAAAAATTACATGTTAAAAATCTCCTTTCTCATGAGCTCGTAAAATTCCACTGCAGAACCTACAGATTGACAATCACAGTAGATGCGGGGTTAATTACCGATTAAAGAAACATAATTCACCATCTAGGATTTCATCACCACTTACGATCAAGTGCGATTGTAGTCAAGAAACTGCTTATAATAATTTTAAAAAAAACTGGAATAAGTTTCACCGAAAATCGATTCACCTAGTCGAGTAAATTTAAGGCAACGGTGTATAGAGCTTTAGATTGCAAAATTATTATTACTACACTGCCGCTTAGTGCTCCTAACAAGTTGTTGCAGAACTTAGAACAAACTAACTGCTACATTTCCTAGAATATATTAAATACAATACCGAGTGACAGTTTACTTCACTGTTCTGTTTTGAATCGGAATATTATATGTATTTCAATAGTTTAACGTTTCAAACCTTTATGTATTGTCTATTGTAACATAAACGGCGTTGTTTTTATATAGAAAATAACCATAAGGTTCCAAACCAAGCAGTTACACAGATGAAAACTTACTTAAATAAAATTGTTGCATGTAGTTATTTAAAAAAAAAATATTATTATTACGTGATATACACTCGAAGTTTTGCATAACTAATAAATAAAAAAATGAGGTGCTTCCCTCCCAAAAGTGTTTTAAATCAAAAGAGAGTGAATTTTAAATCATAAAAAATCATCGCCGTAAATGTTTTCGCGTTAATTCCATTTTTGTTAAAAAATTATTTTAGTCATAAAATTCCAAATTCAAACATTTACGAGTATGAGCGGCCAGGAGCTCAGAACTTTAGTGTGCTCTATGTAGAACTTCGTAGATATAACCGTGCGCGAGCTAGCCGAGCTCAATTCAATTGTTGTTGCAATTTTAAATACTGATTTATACGTGCTCTTTGGTGAAGGAAAACAACGTGAGAAAATCTCCATGTGTGCGAAATTAAAAATAAAACATTTCGAAACCATGTGAAGTCTCTCGACACGCATTAGAGCAGCGCGGTAGATAATTCCTTGCCTTAAAATTCTCTCATAAATTAGAGAGAAGGCCTGTCCAGGAATGGTATACTACTCTAATAAATATTAACATTACTAGAAAAACTTCAAATAAATGCCGCATTAAATTTGCTATTTTTATTTCTGATATTATAAAACATATTGTCTATTCGAGTAGAGCGCGTTCGGTGGGGCGGAACATTTGAGCGCTCGCCATTCAAAACTCTTTAGTACAAGACGTATGTTTAAAATACTCAATTTGATCACTCAATTTGATCAAGAATTTAGTCGTGTGTTGACAGTGTAACAAAATTTATCACTCCACTTACTGCCGAGGGTGCCGTTAAAGACGACTAAAGCAATAAGGAAATATAAACATCTCAAAGTTGGAAAATGTTACCTATTTTATCTAACCATATAATATATGATACAAATAAAATATCTGGAGTATTCTGAGTAAAGTTGTGATGAATTTATTACCAAAAATTATCGTCCTTAATGTGTATGCATGTGCGCGATTCTTTGAAAATAATGCTCTTAAACGAAAGTTATTACCGTCAAAACTTACACGCCGCGTAGTGGCGGAGTAAGAATATCCACTACCCCATATCGTTACGTGGATATCGTAAGAGGCAATAGAGGGAAACAAACCAGTTGATTGGTAACAACTTATCCTAATAACGAATAGAAAATAACAAATTGCGGTTTCCAAACCCGCCTGTCAAGCGAGGTAACTTAGACAAATATCCCGTTTATGAGCCAATCCATTAGGAGGTCTATTTTATAATCTATGTTCCTTCCTTTGACACGCTTTAATGAATGAATGAAGAAATACGAAATTTAAAACTAAAAAAAATACGAAACTATATATAACTAAATATGTTAGCTTGTTTTAACTGTTTTCGTAGACTTAGGAACATTCAATCCGGCGAAAGAACGGGTAAGAACGCCCTGAAATCATCTCAAGAGAATCTAGACGAAACGCATTACGCTAGAAAGAAGTTTTTTCGCCACCAAAGAAAGTACGACGGAAAGGAAATAAAATATAAAAAATTCGAAATACCGGAACACGAGTTCGAAGAGAGGTTCGAAGTGCAACCGCCGCCGAAGGATAACAAAAATAGAACAGAAATGCAACAGTTTAAGGACTGGTTTTTTCGTGACTCCGACATCGATTTAGAAGCTATGGAAAGTCAGTTGTACAATCAAACAGAGGTATGTGCCACGTTTTTTACTGTTTCAGACAATAAAAACAACAAAAAATCCTTTTACGCAAAAAATGTTTCTTGGTATTAATGTCGAATTAAATAAAGCTATCAGGGTTATGATGCCTGTTACTCACAACATATTTATATTCATCGTTTTAATCATCTTAACGAAACGAAACAGCACATTGAAATTGAACCTACAACATCCTCGTAAGGAATCTGTAAGTAGGGCGTACGAAACCTTGTGCGAAACGATTTTATTAATCACTAGCGACCCGCCCCGACTTCGCCTTGGTATCCTAAGGTCTATTAATATGACGTTAGTTAGATTTAAGATAACCATTTATTATATAATTTTTTCTACATTTGAAAAAATTTCAAAATGTTTCGGATAAAATACATAGTAGATCCACTCCTTTCATTGCTCTCTAGCTGTTTGTAAAGTTTCATTATAATAGATTCAGCCGTTTAATTTTTTTTAAATAGCTATCCATGACCAGCATCAAAGCCAAAAAATAAATAAATAAAATTTCCTTTATTTTCATAAGTCTTATAACAGAGATTTGTCGAGTTTTCCCTTTAAGTAGTCATAGACACTTGTGTTTGGAATAACTCGCTCCTTCCCTTACGGTATCCTCAATAAGACTATTAAACTATATTATATCTAGAAGCTTAGAATTATAGAAATGTGGGTTAGTTATTGTGTATATATTTTAGTGAGTGTGTGTGTGTGTGTGTGTGTGTGTGAGTGTGTGTGTGTGTGTGTGTGTGTGTGTGTGAGTGTGTGTGTGTGTGTGTGTGTGTGTGTTTATGTGTGCGTGTGTATGTCGGTCACCTGTAAAGCAAAGCTCTCATCAGCTCAATAAAAACCAGTTTTTTTGGAAATTACAGAGAGACGCTTCAATTTTATTTATATGTACAATTTACTATTTTCTACAATATGATATAAAGCCGGGATAAATTCATTTGCCATTATTATCAAACGACCTGTTATAACGCTAAATGCGCTATAGTGTAAAAATATTGCAATGAAAAATTATGTTCTCAATACTCTCTACTCTCAAACAAAATATTGCAATCAAAAACAAAGCTCACAGTGAAATTAGGTCGATAACATTTGTATGAATTTTTATATTATGCTGATCACTGATATAATATGTTCAAATATACATACCTACTATAATGTGAAAACTTTGCATATGCAATATAGACATCTCACCACATTAGTCCTCCGGGATGACAACGCATCTAACTACATATTGATTTCATTGGGCCATTGCACCCACTTGTCATCAGTCGGACTGTGTGCCCGATTGTCACCCTTATTCTATAAATAAATATCATCCTAACCCTGCGGCCGCGTCTTGCTGGAGACGCTGAGCTTGACGCACTTGACTTTCCCTACCAGGTTTAATGACGTCCAATCGTGTACGGATTCGCCTTCCAAACATTGCTGGGGACTCACCCGTTGTTGAGTGTATCTTTTGAACGATCAACGATGAAAATGATTTTATTACAACCTATTTCTGTTAATTGCCTTTATTTAAAATATAATATTATGCCAAAAAAGTAGATTGCACAGATTTTGTGCAGATTGTGTGAGACAACATGGTTCCCCGTTATGATGTGCGTATAAAAATCTAATAGTTACATAATAATATGGCAAATACTGTCAAAATCTTCCTGAATCATACGCAAATACTTACCTTACAATTGTGGGTTTGTGTATGTGTGCATATTTGAGAGACCGGCATTAGACAAACTTTAGCGCCTAGTTTGAACTATATTTATTTCATTTCTAATATTAAATCTAATTCAAATTTTATTGAATCTAAAATTTTATAAAAAAAAACAAAAAGCGTACTTATTGCTTAAAACGTTGTCACTGTCAACTCTGGGACAGTGATCAAAGTTATTCACTTTATTAAAGTACCGTCTCGCTGTAATGAAATGTATACTAATATACGTTTCAACCACCCAACATTTTAAGATGCATTTCAATCTAAATAATTTTAAAATTGCAGGAACCTAAACGCAGACACCGCACTGCTAGAGCAGCCACTAACCGCAAGGAGCGAATTTGGGAGTACGGTGTTATCCCATACGAAATAGATGGTAATTTCAGTGGCGCCCACAAATCCTTGTTCAAACAAGCCATGCGGCATTGGGAGAATTTTACATGCGTGAAGTTCGTTGAACGGGATCCCAGTCTGCACAAAGATTATATAGTATTTACAGAAAGACCTTGTGGGTAAGTGGATTTAAAAATGATAATAATTGTCATTATCATCATCATCATCATCATTACAGTCCGTCACAAGGCCACTGCTGAACATAGGCCTCCCCCAAGGAATGCCACAAAGCTTTGTACTAAGACATCGACGTGGTAGAGTCATACTGCAGCTATATTATGATTGTAGCACGAATGGGACGGTTCGACCGTGTAAGCACCATGCTCTAACAAAATACGTGTTTCGTATGGTGAGTGTAGAAAGAGACCTATTTTTAATGGAAACGACGAATTCCATCTTAGTTCTCAGGAGTGACAAGGTATCTGCATTTTGATGGTGTTTTGCATTGTTTGAGGATAGGCGTAGATTACTAGGGGTCACAGCATCCACTTACCATCAGGTGGAGCGTGTGCTCGTTAGTCACTCTTATTATTTACAATAAATCTACATTCATCGACTTCCTGCATGTTTAAGAAGGTCGTCACTATATTCTGTGGGAAGACCGAATTACACTCCGCTTGCCAACACGTGGCAATCACTCTAAAACCTCATGGGCGACAATGGACACACCAACGAGGATACCGCATACCAGACTTATTACAATCTTTATTAAAATATAATCGTTTATATATCTGTTAGTGATTGTGTAACTTCTAAGCAACTTGACCGATTGAGTTCATATTCACGCAATATATTTGTTTTGTCAAGATGTTGGTTCATAGCTGTGTTAAGATTCGATAGGTGGCGCTGTACTCAAGTTATTAATAAATACTGTAGTTATGAGCCAAAATGACTTATATTCACAATATATTTCGGTATAGTGCCAAAACGGCGCGGCGCTTTGATCAAATATATAGCATTGTAAAAATCCCCGAGTTAATTCGAAGTGCAACATGGCGCCACCTACCGGAAAGTGCAGAAAAACTTCTGTCAGGTCAGTAGTAATAACAACGAAAAATTATAAAAGTATTTACCACATTATCCTAGGTGTTGCTCGTTCGTGGGCAAGCGGGGAAGCGGCGCACAGGCGATATCGATCGGCAAGAACTGCGACAAGTTCGGCATCGTGGTGCACGAGCTGGGCCACGTGGTCGGCTTCTGGCACGAGCACACGCGCCCTGACCGGGACAACCACGTGCAAATCATCAGGGACAACATTTTGAGTGGTGAGGATTTTACTCAGAGATTTATAATAACATTGTGACTGCTTCGTTGGTGAAGAGGTCGTAAACGCGATTGATGATCATGTGTTCCCGGGTTCGAATCCCGGGTCGTTTTTCTGTCAAGAAATATTCAGTAGTAACCCGGAGTTAGGAAGATGGCAATGTTTCACCCCTGTGCCTCGGAAAGCAAGCCGGTGGCCACGCACCTGATCTCTTTCTGGTCGTGTTACATTTACATTACTATTCCATCAGACTATTAGAGTGCACCTGTGCTTGCGCATACACTCGGGCACTATAATCATCTCCTGCGCAGGTGACTAATCAACTTTGATGATTGATGAATCGATTTACATTGTTTTGAATAAGGCACTATTGGGAATGTCAGAAGTTTTTTATGGTTTCCGATAGATGACGGTATAAACATTCCATTTAAGACAAACAGAAAATACTTAGCCGGCAAAGGCAGCAGCATCACAGGTGCAAGTCGTCTGTTTGATGTTTGATGTATATATTTTTTCATCAATCATCAAATCATCAAATTATATATATATATATATATATATATATATATATATATATATATATATATATATATATATATATATATATATAATGTTTACATTGATAGAAACTGTTATCTGTTAAAATTAGTTGATTTGTTAAATTGTCTATTCTTTTTTGTGTTTCTCTTATATTTGTTCTTTCGCTTGACCATTCATAAGAGCTTATATAAGAGCCTATGTGAATAAAAAAAAAGAATAGATGTAGTAATGTTGGCGGAGGATTATCCCTTTAAACTCACTTCTCCTGTGGAAATAATGTTTGCTGTAATGTTTTTTTAATCATAACATCACTATCTAACACAAGACAGACACTAACACAGAACAGTGTTCAAAATAATTTAAAAATAACATTCCTTTTTTTAAGCACAAAAATTGAGGTTAAGGTGTCACAAAAACATTACTTAAAATTTCTTAATTTAGAATTAGATGTCCGTTTCTTTCGTCCACTCGTCATAGTATTAGCAACATTGATGTATGTTGATACGGGCCACCGACGTACCGGAGAACAACTTACGATATATTAGACTGCATTCTCGTAGATTTCTTCACTCGAATAAGAAAAGAAAAAAACAATATTATTTCAACCATGAATTTATAATATTATTTAAGTTCGAGCAATCAACAACTCGCCGCTAATAAACGCGGTTAATTTAATGACCACATTACGAAAATTGAGTGAGTTCTGACCGAATTCCGCGTAAATTTGATGCGAATTATTTAAACAGCGATCGCGTGCTCACTCAATTTCCCTCTTAGCTGTTGTTTATCGCCGCATCACGCAATATCTCGTCTGCACTGTACCTTATTTACCAATTTGCGCCACTAATATTATTACAAATACCCGTCTTCTTTTTTCTTTTATGAAATATAAGGAACAAAATATATTACAGTCTACCTGATGTTAAGTGACTGCTGCAGCAACTAATTTCAAGCCAATAAGAATAGAAATGCGTTGGCTTCTCTGAAAACTAACCAGTTAGAGATAATTTCTTTGCATTCTTTTAATTAATATTTATTATTTTATTATATTGGTATTACTTTATATGTTTATATATGTAGCTATTGTAGGTATCATTTTATATTTATTTATAACTAGCTGTGCCCGCGGCGTAGCTCGCGTATACAGGTTTTACATAAACAATTTGTCGTTTAGGTAAGAGAATATTAAACGATTTATTTCATTACTGTATCAATAAGTGGTAACTAAATAAATCATTATCATCAAAGTTCTAAGTCGTTTATGATAGAGCTTCTGTGTAAACGACGTGAGAAGTAGGCTTAGCCGGGGTGTACACTAAAAGGTTACGGGGGCTACTAACGCGGGAAAAAGCAACATAGAGTTGGCCATGTGCAAAACAGTCAGTACTGAGGTACACTCCTACAATGCGTAAAGTTTGACCTTGCGCTTTATTTACGGTCATCGCATAACACACGCTCACTGTAACTGGGAACTGAACGCGCTTAAAACTGAAAGGAAAGTTACTTCTTAATAGAGGGTTTTTGGGCAGTGCTGCCAGATAAAAAAAACTAATTCAGCTCTAGGACAATACAAAAAGCGCTAGATTTCATGAAAACAGCGCTTTAAAAAAGCCCTAGATTTCGCGCTAAATTAACTACAAACAAAGTTTGTGTTTTTTTATATAATCATAATTAAGAAAACAACATTAAGTTTTTTTTCTGGCAATATTTTTTTGATGTATCAATACTTCGCAGGACATCGACTTATAATTATGGCAATTGCTGTCAACAGTAGTTAGTACTGTACGAACAATAAAAATGTCATTAATTGTTTTAAAGTGCAATGTATTTCGCAACTTAGTTTCAGATGTCAGCATCTGATTGCGGTTGCTACACAGTTTCTTTGTGTTATAACTTCTAAGTAACTTTTAACTTAGCTGTGCTCTAAGCAACTGACTGAAACTGAATAAAGCAAAATAAATGCGTTGCCAAAACCATGAACAAAAACTTTAATAAAGGGGTTTCCCCGCTTATAGTCGTCGGTAAAAAAATCAAGTTGATCATCCTAAAGGGGAAGCCAGGAGATCCATAGCACAGGGTATCATAGTTTGGACTCGTCTCCCATGCTCTTTGTTTTGTGGAAAAAATATGTTTGAAAAAGATAAACTGCAATGTACTATTTGTGGGAAAAAATAATAAAGGTCATTATTATTATTATCGGTAATGTGGACTAACAGTGCTGCTATAAAAGAGTTAATAACCCGCTAGTCGCTAAAATATTGAAATGTGTGCTAAATACACCAAAAAGCGCTGGATTAAGCTAGGGCTAAAATTTCGAAATGCGCGCTATACATTCCAAAAAAGCGCTAAATCTAGTTCCCAAAGCGCTAAAGTGGCGTACTGCCACTTTAGCGCTTTGGGAACTAGGTTGCGAACTAGATTGCGATTGATTTTGCGTATATTATAAATACAATATCACGACATTTCGTTGCAAAATTTTTATTTTTGGTCGGATTCCGTTGTATGGCTTTGATGGATACAAATTTCTTCAGTAAGTCTCAATACGATTCATCGGCGAAAAATCTCAACACAGCAATTCAGAAAAGTTTGTAATTTGTACAACTCCATCTATTACGTCCTTTGTGTGAGAAAACATCCTTTTTAAATCTCTTTTTGTGTTTTTTAAATCTCTTTTTGTATTTTAAGTATAAATATATTAATTATTATGGTACGTTTTTTTACACACAAATCTTTTTATTACTATTTCTGAGATTTTATGGCGCCATTGAACAAATTCGAACCTACATTTCAAAATAATAATCATTACTTTCGATAGAATTAACCAATTTTAATAAAACAAAGATTAAATGTAACTCGAAGATACGCTTTATGATTTTCTTAACGATTTCTTTGAAAATAAAAGATGTTTACTTTAGACGTGATGCGCTCATATAATAACATACAGACAATTCTAAAAATTATAAAATGTTCTTATTTAATTATTTTCAGTTCCCCATAATGATTTTAGCCACCAAAATATATACCTATACAATGTACAGAAAGAGACACAATATGTTATCATCATTTTTATTATATATATATATATATATATATATATATATATATATATATATATATATATATATATTTAAAGAGAGATGGCGCTGCTAACATCAATTCTAAAAATAAAAGAGATTAATTGACGCGATTGATACATTATATAAAACGCAAGAGTACTTATAAATCAGTGCCTGCACAGTAAGCAATAATTTAAAATTAAAAATTTTGTACAGCCGACTTCAATATAAGTTATTTAAGAATAACTTAAAAACTATTGGTCTGACCTTGATCAAATTCATATGGCACCACACGAGAAGTACCAGCTTTCAAATAAAAAAAGAATCATCGAAATCGGTTCACCCAGAAAAAAGTTCTGAGGTAACACACATAAAAAAAACGAAAAAAAAACATACAGTCGAATTGAGTACCGGCTCCTTTTTGGAAGTCGGCAGAAAAATAAAGTTTGACTCTCGCCAAAACCAACGATTTGTTAATAGCTCTTTTAAAATTTGATTTACCACATAGAGTACTCGGCGGTAAAGAATAAATTGAGTTTATCAACACGCAGTAGGGCAGCGAGTAATATAATAAAGATTAGCAGTAAATATGAAAACTCATCTACAGGAAAAAAAACATTGCAATTGCATTACATTTTCACAACACCACCATCTATCGAAGAAATGGAAAAACTATTGTGCTTCAGATTTAGTTAATAAGGTTAATATATTTTTGTATAATATATTTAATACGTTTTTTAATACTTTTGTTTACTGCGTTTTAGATATACATAATTATATCATTATTTTACATAATTTAACTATGATTTATGATATGATATTAGTTTAAAATGCACCTGATGACTCAAACAAAGCCACCGTTGAGCAAATTCGTACCTATACTTCCCTACCCATACTTCAGAATATTTATCATAACTTTTGATGGAATGAACTGATTTTAATGAAATAAAGACTAAATGTAACCCGAAGATACACTTTATAATTTCCTTAACAATTCTTATGATATAAATTAGTACTTTATACGTGATACGTTAACAAACAAACAGACAGACAGACAGACAGACAGATAGACAGAAAATTCTAAAAATGGTAGAAATGTATTTAATTACTTATTTTTAGTACCCCTCAATCACTTTTATTACAAAAATATAAAATGTACAGACATCTGCTATTTACAGTTTTATTATATGTATAGAAGATATAGATATTACTTAATATACCTAATTTACGTAACATTTTGTATATTATTTATAGTAAGGTACGTGAGGGTAATATGGTCACCTTAAGCTTTGCCGCCTTATAAAACCAAAACTAGGAAAAGGACAGAAACAAATACACAATATCGTTTACTATAACTAATATAGAAAAAATATAACAAACAAGCCTTGGCAATAATTAGCAACAC